TTGGAGTCTGCCTCTCCCTCTGCCCCTCCCCCTGCTTTTGCTCGCTCACTTGCTCTCTCTCTCTCAAATAAATAAATACAATCTTTTAAAAAAAAAGAGCCATTTTTGTTTTTGTTTGAACTACTTGTCTCTTTGTTTACATGTTACTGGGATTAAAGCCTTAAGGGTATAATTTTCAGGTTCTCAAGAGAGATAAGTAGAGTTAAGTATAAATAATTTGAACTACCTGATTGATAGCTTTTCTTTAATTAATGGGAAATCTGAATTCTGGAAGTTTTCCCAAAGTAGTACAGACACAGGGCACTCTGCAGGCTGTGAGCGTGAGGGCCGGCCCGTGCTTCTGGAAGACTGCGCGGGGCCCAGGTGAGGGGCAGTAAGGCGATTGCTAGGTTGTTGGCTCCCTTATAGACGGCTTTGCAAGCACATGAACGGTCTGTTTGGGACTGAGAAGGCTCAGCTGCCTCCTCCTACCTCCTTGCTCAGCCGTGTTTACCAGATGCGTTTGCCCCTGAGTGCTTTCCTCAGTTTCCCCAGGTAATATCCTGTGGAGCCTGGTCCATCTCAGGACAGCTTGCTCTGGACTCTGCATGAGGGAAGCTTTGGGACTGCGTCAGGAGCCCCGGCCAGCAGGTCTTCCCTGCTGCTTTCTCAGACCTTCTGTGGCCTCTGGGCCTAGGAATCGCGAGCAGGCTGCTCCAGTTGCCCGCACGGGTGCTGGCTGCACTGAGAACACTCATGTCCCCTCCACATTTCCTGCTGTGCGGAGCCGGCTCAGTCATCTGCACCAGCTTTTCTTCCGTTCCAGGGTTGCCAAGCGAAAACCTGCATTCCTGCTTGTGAGTGGGGTTAGGGTGTGTGTGTGTGTGTGTGTGTGTGTGAGAGAGAGAGAGAGAGAGAGAGAGAGAGAGAGAGCCAGCCAAGTGCTCTGAAAGTCTGGGGCTTAGTGAAAGGGTTGGGAGGGGTCCATTGCTGACATGATCACTTCCCCAGGATAGATTACAAAGCAGGAAAGGAGATTTCCCTGCCCTGAGCTCTGGCTTTTCTTCCAGTGCACACGCACACCTGCCCGCACACAGGTACCACACATCTGTGTGCACACGCACCTCACACCTGTGCACACATGCCACGTATCTGTGTACACGCATGTGTGCACACCAGGCCCCTTTGATGACCAGGTCCCTGCTAGGCCTTGGACAGGTGGAAACCAAGTTTAGATGTAGTTTGCTCACCAGGAGCTCACGGATGTTGCTGTTTCTTTCTTACCATATAGTTATAATTTTTTGGTGTTCTCTCCTTTTTGATTTACATATGAAAACAGCTCTTGTGTACTAATGCAGATCGGTGGTGGCATTTAGTTAAGCCTCACAAGACCACCTTTTAGTCAAGATACCAGCATGGACCTCTGGCTCTGCTGCTCTGGGTGAATTGCTTACCCTGTGGCTGCCTGAGCTTCTTATCTGTATGAGTTACCCATTCCTCTGTAACGACATCATCACAAACCTGGCACTTCAAACAACACACACTTATTCATATTTGTTGTCCTGCAGTTTCTGTGGGTCAGGAGTCTGAGCATGTCTTAGCTCAGGATCTCCCCAAGTGGCAAACAGTTGTGGTCTGGGCTGCAGACGCATCTGCGGCTTGACTGGGGAAGGACCCGCTTCCAGGCCCACGTGGTTGCTGGCAGGATTCGGTTGCTGGTAGGCTGTGGAGCTGTGGCCTGGGTTCCTTGCTGCTTCTCAGCTGCCCTCAGGTCCTGGGCACACGGCCCTTTCCTTATGCAGCTCACAGTGTGGGAGCCTGTGTCCTTGAAGGCAGCAGGGAGAGTGTCTCCCAGCAGGACGGTTGTTGTCCTGTATGACATAATCTTGCACATCCCATCCCCTGTGCGAAGCAGGGTGCAGGGCTGTTCACACTCAAGGGGAAGGGGCCACACAAGAGCTCATACACCAGGAGGTGGGGGGGCACAGGGCCATTCGGGGTCTGTCTGCCACCTTGTCTGAAAGGGGCAGTAATCATACCTGCCTCCACGTTTAGAGGAGGATGAGCTAGTGAAGGTGGTTAGGACAGTAGCATTTAATCGATGTTGGCAAGTATTGCGTGATCACACTAGCATTGTCATTACTGGGGTTAGGTTGCTTACTGATGCCCACGTACTGCACCGTGGCATTCAAGGCTATCCCCAGTGATTCCTTCCTGTTCTCAAGGCACCCCTGCATCTCTCCTTTGCTCTCAGTGGCCTCCGGGACGCAGTGTGTACCACCGTGGAGCCTTTCCATCCATGTGTTTGTGGGGCTGACGCTTCTTCTTTGTTCCCAGCCCTCCTCAGGCCTGGTTGTCGTGTGGCGACCACACAGGTCCTTGCTTCCTGCCCTAGGTCACTGGGAGGGTGCTGCAGACAGTGCCCCCTGCACCATGTGGTTGTCTGTTCTGGTGCCTTGCTTGGGTGCCCCGCCCGGGAGTTTCTTTCAGAGTAGGCTGAGCCCATCTCTGGGTGCTCCGCTGCCATGTCTTGAGGGTAGCCCTCAAGGGGCTGTATAGGGGCCATGCGAAGAATGGCCGAAGGTGTGGCCTGATCCCATCCCTGGGTGCTCTTGGAGTCATCCAGCGTTGCCCTGTGCAGGGGCTGAAGGCCGTGCTGGGAATTGAAGGAGCCACCCTGCGCCGGGAGGCACGGGCCAGAGCGGGTACTTTTCACCTCGCTGGGCCCCATCGTCTCACCTGTGGGTGTCCGGCTGGGGGCCTGCCTGAGCTGATGGTGGGGGTGCACCTGCGCTCTTCAGGCTCCGCTGTTCCTGGCCACGTCATGGCTGAGTGTGCATGCACGGGAGTTCCCCATCCTCCGGGTTGTCTTTGCTAGAACTTTCCAGTGTGGGGTAGAAACCTGCCCGTGAGCTGTACACATACTTCAGGGTCTTATTCGTGAGGAGCTGCTTAGCTGACATCCACGGCTCTGCACTGCTCTGCGGCGAACTATCCCAAGTGTGTCCTGCCGGGCACTGCGGCGAACTATCCCAAGTGTGTCCTGCCGGGCACTGTGGTGAACTATCCCAAGTGTGTCCTGCTGGGCACTGCTCCTGCTCGTCCTAGTGCAGCCCGGCCCTGCCCGCTCTCTGCCCCCGGTGCAGTCTCCGTGCTGACTGTGCCCTCACTTGCTCAGCCTGTCCCTGCCCTGGCCACGGCGAGGAAACGGTTGGGATACTGTCCCGGGCTTTCCTTGTGTCCAGGTGGCCGGGCCGGGCCATGCCTGCTGCGTGGCGGCTGGGGGGGGGGGGGGGGGTGGGTAGGGTCTATGAGAGGGGTCCTCCCCTGCATGGACTCCGCGTCCCTGTCTACCACTGTGTCACTGCACTGGCGGGTCGAATGCGCTTCCAGCGTCACCAGGGTGAGGGAGCCCAATGTGGCGGCACAGTGTCAGCCACATTGCGTTTGCACAAGAGAAATGGCAAATGATGCCACGTGTTGAGTGGTTTTGGTCTTTTGCTTTTGTTTGAATATTCTTGCTAGTTCTCGCTAGAAAGCTGTTGTAAAATGAGACACAGGTATGAACGTATGTGCACGAATGCACGACTCATTCAGCAGCAGGTACTTAGCAGCTGCCCTGTTGGGACAGGCTCTGTGCCCAGGTGCCCCGGCTTACGTGCTGGTTACTTTATTTGTTGGGAGCAAGCATAGTTGATGGTGTACAAGGGTGGGCACCAGGCTGGGGGCCTGGATTCTAGGGCTGGTGGTGCCCCTTGTTGCCCGTGGGCCCTGGGTTAAGAGACTTGCCCATCTAGGCCCCAGTGCTCCCACTGTAGAGCTGAGTTGGTGTTGATTTGGGGATGCGGACCACAAGCTCGGTGATATTTGGGAGTGAGGGCAGTGCAGAAAGGGGCTGACCTCCTTGGGTACCAGCACAGTTAGCCCTGCAGGCTCAACCTGTTTGGAAATGAGGCAGTTCATGTGCTGTTTGGGCATTTGCTCGTTTAGCCTGCCCCGTGTGCTTTCTTAGCATGAGGCCTGGGTCAGCAGCAAAGGTCTTGTAAGGGGAGAGAGGAGGCTAAGCTACTCCTGTGTCCACGGCCTGGGTGATGGAACGGCTGGTGGGAATGTATGTAATGGGAAGATGCTGGAGCAGGTGCTCTTGGGTGATGATAACAGACTGGTGGCTGACAGAGGTGGGGGTGGTTGTGGGTGCAATGGGCGGGGGGGTCAACGTAAAGTAAGTCAGGGGATGTAATGGACAGTGTGCTGTTTAATAATACCGTGTTGCATGTCTCAAAGTTGCTAAGAGATCTTCAAAGTCCTCATCACGAGAGAAGAAATTTGTAACTATGTATGGTGACGGGTGTTAATTAGACTTACATATATTACAAAAGATCATTTTGTAATATATACCAATATTGAGTCACTATTCATATATTGTACATCTGAAACTAATATAATGTCATATATCACTTCTGCCTCATTTAAAACAATCTGTTTACCATATGAGGGAAATTCAGAGCATCTTTCCATGTACCCCCTCCCCTGACCACAACCCCCCTCCCCCCACCATGCTTCCTTCCTTCTCTCCATTCACTCATCCATCCTTGGGTGCACCTGCCCACCCACCTGCCCGGTCCTCTGCTCTCCGGTCCCTCCACACGGAGGGAGCACTCACCCAGAGGCCAGGTGCTGCTGTACCGCCTGACCACGTCCTGGGCAGCCATGTGCAGTCTCTGCCCGTGGAGCTTGGGGGGGGGGCGGTGTCTCCTATGGGAGCCAGCTCGTGTGGCAAGGCTGAGCTCGGGGCTCGGTGAGACACTGAAATTGCTTTTAAGTCAGTAAGAAATTAAGATAATAGGAATTTTATGAAAAAATTAAGTAGCAATTAATACTTTGTTTACATTTTTACTTTTAATATTAGAGACAGTGAAAAATGTTGATCGTATATATGTATTTTGAGGGAAAGAATGCATACATTTTAAAGTTTCTGATGTGTTTATTTTTGCTTCACCACCTGTTCAATTTTCTTGCAGATTTTTGAAAGGATATTGTTTATATGGGCGATACGTCACCCTGCCAGTGGATATGTTCAGGGGATTAATGACCTTGTCACTCCTTTCTTTGTAGTCTTCATGTGCGAACACATAGGTAAGACCATATCGTGATTTTTTTTCCCTGCAGACATTAAACGTGAACTTTGGTGGCCTTGCCGAGTTACTATGCATCATTGCACCAATGTTGAGATGTGCCATTAAGTTAAATGTTGTAATGACAACTAAAAATAGTATAGTTTTCTCATTGATGCCAGCTTTAAGAAAAGTCTGTAAACCCACGTGTTTAACTACTGAAGAAGACATTAAGATGCAGTGTTTATGCTTACTGTCTTCTTTTTAATCATACACAAGGAGTGTGGTTTTGTTCTGATGGCTGGCTTTCACGGGGTGGATTTGAATGGATTGGGTCAAGGTGGTAGCCCGTTAGTGGAATGTTCTGCTGACAAGCTAAAACCTGAGCCCTGTTTGATTGCATTCTGCAGCATGTTGTCTCCTTTCTGCCTTTGATACTAGTAGCGGTTCATTTTATGGGAATGTTAATTACATGCAAAATAATTAGTTTAACGGAGATTTAGGTTGGGCAGTGTGGTCTCTCTTTGAGTGCTGTGTATTTTTTCCCCCATTTATGTTATAGCAGTCAACTGCTGAAAATTCTGAAAATATAAATGTGGGATCTACTTTTTAATTTATCTATGGATAAAAAATAAATAACCAGAGGAGGGATTTGCTGTTTGCCTGTAGCATTTTTATTAAAAACAGATTTTAATTTGTCTTCACGTGAACCTTCCCAACTTGATATTTGTTTGTTTTTATGAGATTGTGTCTTTAGCCGCTTCAGCTTCTCATCATGGTTGTGATCCGAGGGAGGAGGTTTGGCCGGGACAGATTACCCTCTGAGGATGAGAACATGCTCGTTCAGTGCGTTTTATTGCAACCTCTCACACTTTGTTTGCGTTGCTGATTTCATAGGAGGGCTTTCATTGCTAAGCAACTAATGAGGACCACCACGGCTCCGTCCCTAATCGGCTCTCATGTAGGGGAGAAGCCTGCGCCCGAGAGCGCTTGCTTTTCTGCTTCTTCCTCCCGCCTTGACAGATAATGAAAATGTTCTTAATGATCCTAGAACAGTAGGACCTGTCAGTAGACTTCGGGGTTGTTAATTGAAAGAAGAAGTTCAGCTGAGATGTGATTAGCGAATTGATATTGCATGTTAAATAGACCATTTAATTCATGTGGTAAGTAAGTTTGTCTTAACTACTTTACCACCAACTCATGCCGTAAGACCCAAGCCATCCTTAACTGCGTTTGCCTGAATCGTCAGCGAGACGGACTGTGGTGGTCATTGTCTCGAAGAGAGAAGAACCAGAGGAGCTAGGATTTGTGCTCTGCCCTGCCTTCCTGTGACACCCCCTCTGCACACACTTGCGCACACGCACCAGGACTTGCACGTCCGCCGAGTGGATGTACGGGGTGGTTTGGGGACATTTGTATAAAACGCACCATTTATTTCTGGCCGTTGGCTGTGTCTTTAAGTGGACACGTGTTACCTTTCTGTCCCGGCCTTCAGGTATGATTGGTGGACGTGACTTCTTTCACCTCTTGTCATCCATGCTTGGGGGTGTTCGTGTGTCGGTCCTGGTCCACCTCCCCTGACTTCAGAAAGCCTCAGGTCTGTTGAAGTGTCCTGGGGACCGACCCGCCAGCTCCTAGGCGGCAGTGTCATTCACGAAGACCTTCATGGGGCGGGCGCCGGGGCGCTGGCCTTGGGCAGAGCACGGGTGTGTGGAGACCGCGTCAGTTCAAGTCAGCCCATGTCAACAGGGCATCTCCTGGCCCTCGGCGGGGTGGTAGGGACGCAGGCGAGCAAAGCGAGTGTGGTTCCTGCCCCCTTGAGCTTGTGGTTACAGCAGGAAGACAGGTTTTAGACCAGTAACAAAGAGGTTTAATGAAAACAGACATTCGTGTTATCTTGAGGTGTATGGGGTGCAGGAAAGCAAACCCAGGCTAGAGCTCGGAGGACTCTGTGTGGCGCTCCAGCTGTACCTTGTGGGATGAGCAGGGGCGTTGTGTGGAGGGAGCATGGGAGTGCAGTGGACGGGCTGGAAGACCTGCTGTGATGCTGGGCCCGGTGATGAGGGAGGACGGTCCCCATAGGATGAGTCCCCGCGGCAGCTCTGGGACAAGTCTGCTGGGCGCAGGGAAGCCCGGGCGCTGTGCGGAAGCTCATGGGCACGGGGCGCACGTGCTGCCAGCCACCGGGCTGAGGGTGTTCTGCTTGGCTGGGTTTTTAAGCGGGTAAACCTTAGATGCTTTGCTTATTAAAGATCTTGCAGATACAGTTTTTTCCTTCAGAGTGTGAAACCTGGTCATAGGATTGTGTGGTTTGGATCCCTGAGCGTCCTGCAGGACTTTGGGGTCTGCATTCTGTTCCCACATGACCGTTCAGACGCTCGCGGTGCCCAGTGGCACAGGGGTCAGCCCGCGTGCGCCCTCCCTCCCAAAAGATGCCCGTGACTCCGTCCTCAGGGCAAGCATGTGTTGTTTTGGTTTTCCTTTCTTCTAAGCTGAACTCTGGGAAATAGTCCCCATTAATTGAGGGGAGAAGAAGCCCCTCCTGGTGTGAGATCCCTCCAGGTGCCCTCGGGCTGCGGTGGGCAGAGCTGCTGGGCCTGATGGGGAGCCAGGCTTTGCCTGTGGAGGGGTTGTTGCGGGTCCTTGGCTCCAGGCCTGCTGTGCTCCTGCTGGTTCACGAGGGAGGAGGGGAATCCGGCTCCAACGACTGTGATGTCCCAGGCAGGGGCAGCCACTTCTGAGCAGCAGGAGTCCTGACTTTGCAGGTACTGCCACATAGCGGCCTCTTAATGCCATGTTTTGTGACTTGAAAAAGGTGGAGATGGGAAGTGAATGGTGGCTGACGTATCTGGGGTTGACAAACAGGGTCTATTTCAGAGGACTTTGGCTCATCAAGTAGATTGACTGCTTCCTTTGCAGAGGGTTGGTTCGTCTTCATTGGTAGGCTGCCCAGGATGATGAGTGGTGGAAGCAACTTGCAGGGGCAGAAAGAAATGGTCAGAGAACACTGGGAAGCCGGGAACATGGGGAGAACAGGAGTAGCCTGGAAATGGAACAGCGTGGAGCCGGTCCAGTGGCCCTGACGGTCTCTCAGGGCTGTTAGCACAGCGCTAGGATGGGTCCGAGTCGTGTGCCACCAGCTCAGGTCTCCTCGCGGAGCACCTCACACCCCTGGGGAAAGGCCGGTTGGTCCCACTTTCAAAGGTCACAGCGTCCCCAGATGCAGGCTTAGCACGCACATATGCTAACACAGGCACACACGTGCGTGTGTGCACACAACGCATGCCAGCCACCACTTCTCTACGTAAATGTGGCACAAATCCTTGACTGCCCTTTGAATGGGCCCCCAGTCTTGGGTGGGCTCTGGAGGCTGGCATCCTCAGGAAGGGTTGGGGAGGAGGTCAGGAGACTTCCTGTGATCTCAGAGGTAAGGGTGGCAGTGTGCAGAGCCCGTCCAGATGTGGAGCCTGGTAAATACAGTCATTTAGGGTGCACTGCAACCTGGGGAGTCCCCATGAGTGGACTTCTGTAACAGGAGTGGATAATATGCTCAGAAAATTCCACCATGGAAGAGTGCCCAATGCCGGGAAGGTTTGGGAATTTATGAATCCGTTGTGGAAGAGTGCCTGATGCCGGGAAGGTTTGGGAATTTAAGGGGCTGAAGCCTTAGGGATAAGAAGCTTTAGGTGCATAAACGCTAGGTTTGCTGACGTGTGAATGTGCCCGTTCTAGATCCGAGCCACGCCTTGGTGCCTGATCATGCAGATTGCATCCTTGACCCAGAGGGTAGGCAGAGTGTGCAGGACTGTCTAGCCAGCACACCTGGTAGATATGTCACCTTCCTCTCGAAACAGGCATGTGACAGTTTCTTGAATTTTACCTTTTGGAAGTTAGAGGAAGCAGCAAGGTAGCTACTACTTCGGACTTATTTCAGGCCCCTGAGGAAGGCAAGTCAAGAATAAGGTTGAGAGAGGACCCACGCTGTCCCAGCAAAGACAGGGACCTTGTGCACAGAGAGACATCGTGGGCTGATGGGAGCAGGCCCAGAGGCAGGTGAAGGCAGGGCCTGGCGCTGGAGAGAAAGTCCTGGTCCGTGAGGTGGTGAAGGGGTTGACGTAGAGGGGAAGGAGGCTAATGGGAGCGGGGGAGTGGTGAGGAGAAGGAGAAGTCTGGCACGTTCCTAGGGTCCAAGGTGGATGTGGTGCCATTGTCCTGGACAGGCAGCTGGTTTGGGAGGTGAGATGACCATTCTGAGTTCAGACACGGTGACCTGGAGCTGGGGGAGAGGTTTGCACTGGGGGTTGCGATGAGAATTGTTGCCCTGGGGGTGGCAGCTGAGAGGCGTGGGTCTGGATGTGCTTATCCAGAGTCCTGTGGTCACCAGTGTGTTGGGGGTCTACGGGGACCTGACAGTGGAGGTTTATGGCTCTCTCCTACGTTGGCTTCTGGATGTCAGCAGTGCACGCCTATGCTGCTGCTGGGGGTGAGTCATCAAGGGCCCCGTGGTAACGGTTCAGTGCTGGAGCCTGGCTGCCGGGGTTCAGACCCAGGCCCTGCCCCTTACCAGCTGTGCATGGCCTTTGTCGACGTGGGAATCAGGAGGGCATGGCACCAACGCCTTGGTTGCTGTGTGGCCCGCGGGAGTTACTATGTGAAGAGCTTCGAGCCATGTGTGCAGGTGCTGAGTGTCCGGGGAGTGCGCTATTGATGTTGTGATTGTTGTGCTGTGTCCCTTCTTTGTCTTGGCCTATGGCTTTCTCCCGCATGAAAAGGTCGCTCTGGGTACCTCCGTAGGGTCCACATTCTGGGTACAGGAAGAGGGAATTGGTGCAGGGCACAGGGCCAGAGGTCAAAGGGGCATGTCGGCTGAGTGTGCCCACGTTCAGGAGCCTTCCTGGCTTTGCCTCGTTGGCCCCTGCCCCCCTGCCAGCTGCCGGCATGAGGCAGAGAGAGACTCTCGCCGTCCTCCTCCTGGAGTGGAGGGGGCAGGACCAGATGTGCATGCCCAGCGGGAGCGATGGG